CTTCTATCCCAGGTTACCAGCAAGCAGAAAATAGAGCACAGAGTACAGGGTAGCAAGCACCTATTACTTAGAAGGTGGTTGGGGTAACAGTCACTAGCTTTTCATGGGCTCAACTCTAAGCAGTTATTTAAAAATGTGCCCCAGGAAAAGCAAAGCAGGAACTTGTGGTAGAAATCCCAATCTCGGGTCCTTATTTAAATGTCCAGACTCTGTGTTTGTGCAGGGTTGTCATACTGCAAAATACCTAGGCAGCAACTCAAAATAGCTGTTTTCTCATCATCATTGCCAATTGCTGTCCAGAGGAGTTATACCAATATGTGAATGTAGCTGTTTCGTGGTGTCTTCCCCAGCCTTAATTTTTATTTCTTAAAAATTGCCTGCCAAATTACTAATGAGAATGGTATCATACTTTATTTTTATTTCTCAATTATTATGTGGTAGGCCGTATTCTCAGATACTTATCAGTCACCATGCTTCCTGTCTTTTAAATGTTCTGTTTATGTCCCTTGCCCACTTATCCATTGGGAACCTAAATATTTTTCTTACCAATTTTGTGAGCTTTTGATTAACAATCTTCTTTTTGGTATTCTCTTTGAATATTTTTATTAGGCTCATTGAGCATAAAGAGATTTGGGAGTTGTTTTTTTTTTTAAGATTTTATTTATTTATTTGACAGAGAGAGACACAGCGAGAGAGGGAACACAAGCAGGGGGAGTGGGAGAGGGAGAAGCAGGCTCCCCGCTGAGCAGGGAGCCCGATGCGGGGCTGGATCCCAGGACCCTGAGATCATGACCTGAGCCGAAGGCAGACGCTTAACGACTGAGCCACCCAGGCGCCCAAATTTGGGAGTTTTGTATAGACAAACCTGTTGATTTTTTGTGACTTTTTTTTCTGTTTCTAATTTTTTAAAAGTCACCCAGAGATTTATAAATATATGTAAATTCTTCTGATGGTTTTAAGACTTCCTTTGTTTTAATGTTGTCTTTTTTAGTTCACTATATAGGTGTATCACATGAAGTGAGTGTTAAATTGGGCTGTGTTTCAATTTCCCCAGCATTCTTTATTGAGTCTTACCCTTGCCATGTGATTTGTGATTTTTTTCCATCTCAAGTTAACAATGTTTAGGAATTTACCGTGTGGTATGCACTGTTCTGAGCATGTTGCATGAATTATCTCATTTTGTCCTCACTCCTCACAACCACCCTGTGAGAAAATGGAATTCTCCTGTGCGCTGTGCTCAGATTGCACTTTCATTTCTATACTATGGCTATCTTCCTTTCTATTTTTATGACCCTACCATTCTGTCTTAATTATTAGAGCTGAGATGTGTTTTCCTCTAGAGAAAGTGTAAGATACCTCTACTGTTTCTTCTTTTTTCTATTTATTTATTTATTTTTCCAGATGAATTTAAGGGTTTCATGTCATGTTCCAAAAAGAATTTCATTGGAATATTTGGTTTAATCCATGAATTATACTGGAAATAATCTCATCTTTGCAGTATCAGTCAAGGTGTGTCTCCTGTACTTAGCCTTGATGCCTGGTACATTCCAGGTGCTGAGTGAATGTCTACTGAGTGAAGAATAGGTGAATGAAGAAATCTTTATCTATCGTCTCCATCAAGTCTGGGTTAATACCTCTTGTTAATGTTTTTTAGCTTTTCCCCATTTGGTCCTACACATTTCATGTGAATGTTATTTCTTGGCATTGTAGATTTGATTTGTTGTTGCTGCCATGAGCAGTATCTTCTTCCTGGGATTTTCTAATTATTTGTTGCCAGTATATGAGAAAATCATTCGTGGTTCCATATTTTTTTCATTCGTTATTTAAGGTTATTCTTTTGAAGGCATTCCCAAGGAATCCTTTGGGTAGTCAGTTATTTCAGTCTATTATTAATAATTTTGTTTCTTATTTCCATGTAATTGTATCTGTTGTTCCTGTTCTAGAATTTCCCAAATACTGTTGAAAAGATTGATGATAATGGGCATTCTTGTTTTGATTCTAATTTTAATAGAAATCTAACTGCTCATCTACAGCCATACCACCCTGAATGCGCCCCATTTCGTCTGATCTTGGAAGCTAAGCAGGGTCGGGCCTGGTTAGTACTTGGATGAGATAAATCTAACTTTTACTTTTAACCATTATGTTGGCTGGTGGTTTGCAATGTATGGTATTGTTGTTTATCTAGTTTTTTTTAAGATTTTATTTATTTATTTGAGAGAGAGAGACAGCGAGAGAGGGAACACGAGCAGGGGGAGTGGGAGAGGGAGAAGCAGGCTTCCTGCCAAGCAGGGAGCCCGATGCGGGGCTCGATCCCAGGACCCTGGGATCATGACCTGAGCCGAAGGCAGACACTTAACGACTGAGCCACCCAGGCGCCCTGTTTATCTAGTTCTTAAAATGTATTTCACAAGGAATAATCTTACAAAAGACTTGGGATTGACTTTCATCGGACATTTTGGTGTCCGTTGAAGGAACTTGCTGCTGCTCCAGAGCATTGCTGTGGAAGAACCGAATAGCACGTACTTGTGATCTTTTAACTGAGCCAAAGAAGACATCTTCTCATTCCAGTGTGATAATGAATGTTTCTGTGGCTTTCTTCTGGCTCCCTATTCCACTAATATGTGAGCCTGAATTCTGGAGGGTGGAAGAGCAGAGACTAAAGCACACACACCCTTTCATTTTATTGCTGACAGGGTGTAGAGCTTGGGTATTTCTGCATGCATGAATTTCTCAAAAGCAGTGGGCTTGGACATATGCATGTGATAATGAGCTGAACAATAGCAGCAACACTACTGCATGTAGAGTATAGGGGGGCATGACACCACGGTAATAAGGCTCTCTGCGAATTACACCATTTGGTCCTCAAGAAAAACATTGTGAGTAAGTTCTGCTGGCCTGTTTTAGGCATGAGGAAACTGTGGCCTAGAGAAGTGGTAGCTTGTCCAGAATTGTACAGCTGAGAAGCGACAGAGGCAGGATTTAGGCCTAGAACCTTAGACCCCAGAGCACACACTCTTCACTGGTACTTTATCCCTTATTGCATTTGCTTTTAATTTGTGCTCTTATTTGGATCCTCTTGACTGGTGAGAAACAAAAGTTACTTGTAAAATAGAACCAAGCCTTAGGGGTGGATGGGTGGATGGATGGATGGATACATATCTTAGGAGCTTGAGAGGACTAATGCGTTTTGAAATGTTTATGGAGCCCAGTAATACAGTAGTTCTTATCTTATCTGGCAAATTTCCCAGATGTTTGACAGTGTAAACATACATAAAATACATATTAAAGTTTAGATGCTTTATATTTTGTGCAATAAATTGAAGCCTTAAAAAGAAAACATTTCATTAAAAAGAAAAACTCATTAGTTCTTGTCTTGTCTCTTCCATTAGTAATAAGAACACAAATTCCTTAGAAGGAAGTTTACCTAATTACTTTAAGGCTAGGTAATAACTTCTTTCTAAGGACTTAGAGTCGGTGTAGTTGACATGCTTTGTACTTGTAAATTTACTGAGTTTTTTCCTCTGCATTTTGTGGACAAATCAGTAAGATTGGAATAATCCATAGGTGCTACTAATGCTGTTATCCATAATTTCACCTTCTTGTCACTTTTCCCCGTAGTATTTCTAAGACAGCATTGTATATTTGGCACCCTCAGTGGAAGACACCTACTTGTTGTGAAACTCAGGATATGTGTTTTTTGAAACAAGACACAAGTTTGTGGTAGAGTAGGAAATATCTGGGCACTTAGCCTTTATCACCTCTGGTGAAGATACTAGATCAGTGATTGGGAGGGAGTGGGAACAGCCCATTGGGAAAGGTAGTGAAATTTAAAATCATTTAGGGGACTTTTCCAAATAATCCCCTTTCTTCTCTGACATAATGAGTTAGGTTTGCTGGGGCAGAGAAATGTTCAAGAGCCACGGTACTGGTCAGCACAGGAAAGGAATTGCTTTACTGAAGTTTAACAGTAATTTTTCCATAAGCCTGGTCCTTTAAAAAAAAAAAGAAAAAAAAAAGCACATTGGAGGGTTACTACTTTTCTCTCTCTCTGAATAGAAATGTTCCCAGGCCTGGAAAGAAGTCTTACCTTATTTTAAAATGTCTTAGGAAGGAGCATAAAAGTTTTTTTCGGGACTCTTTCCCAACTCTAGGAATTGCTTGAAATAGATTCTTCCTTGTGTCTCACAAATTAAATACCTCATTTGTGGCCCACCTGTTTCAGTTACTCTTTCTTGCATTTTAATCTAGCTTGTTTCAGGGCTTCTTTTTCTGACTCTTGGCTATTACGTTTGTCTCGAATTCATAGGTGGCTTACTTTTGTATTCGTAGGAAATTCTCCATTTTCTTCTAGTTGTATCCCAGTGCAGTTTGATGTGGAATGTTAAGATCCGTCCTGTGCCCAGCCTTAGTCCTGTTGTGTGTTTTATTGGGCTCATTGCCTGGTCATAGAGATGAATCCCATCCTTTTTTCCCTTTCTCCTTGCCTTTTCCTGTCTCTTCCTTAGTACTGCCCATGTTTCTTAGACGCCCAGGATTTTATCCTGAAACTAATCTATTTTTAATTTAGGTAAGTCACATGCTGACATCTGATGTGCAAAAGATAAATTTCCCTCTCCTGTATGTAGAAGACTTTTAATTTTGTAAACAAATATTCCATTAATAAATAGTCTATTAAATATACACTAAAACTGTTCCTTTACATGTCTTTAAAGCCAAACTTTTTATTGTGTTTCCAATACTTAAATGCAAAAAACAAAGCCATTAAACTTTCCTTATTAAAATGCAAGGCCTAGTGTCTTCTAGCTTTTTGAAGAGCTTTTGTCCATTATATAATCTGTAAAGTAGCCAAGAGTTCCTCAGAAGCAGGACATCATTTAGATTTGAAACAATTATGGGTTGTGTGTAAAATAATGATGTGGCATAACCATTCATGGGGTGGAAACCACAGTATACTTTAGTGGCAAAATCCTTGGATACCTCTAACATTTCATTTACCATTAAGACTTTATTTACCAAGGTACCCCAGAACAGAAGTGGTTAGATCATTTTGATTCTACTAAATAGATTAAGTTGGTATGACTAGGAAGCCAAATGACACAATTATGAGCATAGACCTTTTATTTTTTTTTCCCAGATGTTTGACAGTGTAAACATACATAAAATACATATTAAAGTTTAGATGCTTTATATTTTGTGCAATAAATTGAAGCCTTAAAAAGAAAACATTTCATTAAAAAGAAAGAAACTCATTAGTTTTACTTAATTAATACAGTAAAATAGCAGCAAGTACCAAGACAGTGTGCACTTCTTTTATTTAAGACAAGTTACTTCATTTACATCAGAGTCAGAAATGTAAGACTGGCTTTCTTGAATACTTATATAGCTTGAATCACTGGTTAGATAGGGGCATATTTTCCCAACTATACATCAGGGAAGAGTTCTTTCATTCGTTTCAAAAAATGCAGACCCTTAAACAGCCAGCATGACCACAGCATTGAGCATTAAGAGAAATGAAGCATTTACTTTCCAAGCACTTGCCACAGAAGGTAAGCGAGTCTTTACATTTGTGGTTGTCTCTTCCCTCCGTAAGTTAAGGGTTGTGCTTTGTTGAGGCATTTCAGAGAAATTATTTGGCATGCCACTAGTAATACTTAGGGTCATGGGTGTTGGGGATGATTTTGTTGAGCTAGTGAGGCTTGTGTTTGTAACCATTCCATCTTGGAGATGAATAGTTAGAGTTGCAGCTGCTGCTTCATGTGAATTGATGGTTTCTATGGATGTCTCTTCTGGGTAGGGCACAAAAGCCTTGTCAGTGCTAGCAAAGGTGGTGTCTTTGCTTAGAGTGGCACCAAACGTTGTTTCCTTTGTTCGATATTGTTTGGGTGTTTTGGTCACTTTGGGTTGAGTAACCATACTCAGAGAGTTAATGGTGTCCACTGTCTGCATCCCACTTACAGTGAACAAGCTTGAGGTAAATCCAGAAGGTGTGGGATATATGTTATGTTCCTTCAAAGATGATATTTGGCTAGAACAGGGAGTCCCTATCACATGGGCTTTTGTTTCCATCATCCACTTCAATAAGTAAGTAATGTTTTGATTGTGGTCACATGACCACCTGTTATTGTAAAGGGTTATCTCTTGCAACTGAAAGAGGTGGTCAAAAGCTTGATCTGGAATGAATGTGAACTTATTATTGTGCAGGTAAAGATGTGTGAGATTTGTCAGGTTTATTAATGTTCCTGGAAGGATTTGTGTCAAGGAATTGTTAGACAGGTCCACGATATGTAGTTTGGAGGGCATATTGGTTGGAACTGTCCAAAGTTTGTTACTACTGAGGTTGAGAACCTCAAGACTTCTTAGTGTGTTTTTAATGAGGACAACCTTTTCCAGCATATTCTTAGAAACATCCAGAAATTTAAGGTTCCACTGATAAGCAGTATCAGATTTGTCAAGCAGTTTAATGTTGTTGTTAGCAGCAGACATGTTCCAGAGGGACCGAGGTAACTGAGCAGGCAGGCTTTCGAGCCTGTTGTTTGAAATGTCCAGGGTCCTCAGATTGGTGTATTGGGTTAACTGGTTATGAAGATCAGTAAAATGGTTATAAGACAGATTTAAATGGATAATATTCTCTTGCAGTCCAGATGGTAATGTAGTCAAGTTTCTGCCTGAACAGTCCACATGCCTGTGCCTCTCTGTGCATATACATTGGAGAGGACAAATGCATAAAATACCAGGTGTGAGAAACAGAAGGATGAACAAGCTGGGAGACATTTTCAATATCTGATATTCCATCAAAGCCTGGAAACAAACAGATACACCCTTCTTTTAATATGCAAACACAATTAGGCATCTGCATGGGTCAGTTAGCATTAGGCAAAATTTTCAATAAACCTCCTTGTTGTTGAGTCCTTTTATAATTGTTCCAGTGATTAAACTAACAAAGCTCCCCTTCATTTATAGTCCAAATGCTTAATCCTTCAATTGGGGCTATGTGGTAGAGAGGGACTCTCTCCCCCTACTTCTGCATTTTCTCCCTTCTTTTACCATAGATAGTCTTTCTTATTTATCTTCCTAGAGCCTTTACAGTACAAAATGGCATTCTCTGCATATAAAGAGTCATAATCTTAAGCTATTACTATTTTTGATAATATCCTTTCTTACTCTGATAGGAAAAAATGGCTGTCTGTTTTTTTGTTTTTTTTTAAATCTCGGCAGTAATGTAATAGTCAATTGTGTGTGTAGAGTAAGATTTTATTTAGATATTAAAACAATACTTTGAAATTCATCTTTGTCTTTTTAGGATAAATATATCCTTGTAAAACATTTTAAGGCACTTGAAAAATTCAGACCAACACCATACCCTTAAACCTCACATTTTATAGTGATTTTTTTCTGTATATTTCAGTGCCGATGCTAAAAGAAAGCAATGTGGACATTCACAAAGTGAATGAATATTAAAAAGAAACCCCTCTACTGACACTGCAGCAAATTTCTGGTGCATGCACTTGCTTCTGAATATATATTCAGTCCTCACACTGACTTTTTCTTTAAAAAAGGGGGGGGGGGAATCCCAAAGTCAATCTTTTACTGATCTAAATAACAGCTTACCATAGTGTCGTCTTCAGCAGCAGCATCTCATTTTCTCCGGGAAACTTAAGCTTAAAGGTCGCCTTGTTCTGGAGAGTGGGCACCGCTTCTGGCTGTGGGCTGTGCTTGCCTGCTCAGCTAGCTGCATTGTGTCGCTGTGAGCTGAAGCTCTGCAACCACCTGATCAGCGCCACATAGGAGGACTGCAGAGCTGTCATTGGTGCTGACTCAAATTTATTGCAAGAGGTGCACACGCAACAAAATGGACCCCAGAATTTTTTTTTTAATTTACAGCATTGAGCATACCTATATATCTCTGGTTTACTATAGGATATAGTGCCTCATCCACATTAGACCTGGCCCTTACTCATTTTTGTGTATTTGTCTGAGCTCATGTTCTACATTCGAACATTGCCTCATGAAGAATTTGTGGTTCTTCTTAAAGCCTCTACTCTTTATTCTTTTTACACATTGAAAAATGTTGAAAATGAATTTGACCTTCCCTGTGGATGGTTTTCTAAGACGTTAATTTAACTATTTTTAACTCCTGCCTTTTCATGTTCTTCTAAAATGGTTCAATTGTCATGTCACTTTTTAAAATAACATAATACAATCTGTTTCATTTTCATGTGCTCCCCCAACACGGTGATTATTACGTATAATCAGCTTTTCAAATTTATCAACCACTTAAACCTTCATCTTCCTTTTTCGGAAGTACTGAGCTACTTCCATATGGTTATTTTGTCTTTATCTTTCTGATACAAAGGATCATTTAACCCAGACTACACACAAGCAGGACTATATTTTTAAATGAGCATGATATGCTTTTAATTAAATTTATGGGGTCAGATAGGTTTTATTTTATGTCTTTTAGGTGAAGGATTTTTTTTTCTTCACGTAGCTTTACTTTGTTCAGTGAGTGGGTATACGAATTGTTTTCTCCAGAGACATCTTCAATGCTGTAGGAGTGACCATTTATTTGATTTTATGTTTTAAAAATAATAGCATCAGTTAAAGGGGGAAGTTTGGGTGGATCTTTCACTGTGGACAAAGAATGAGGTCCCAAGGGCTATAAATAAATAATACAAAAAGATTGGCATATAAATAGAATATCTCATAAATAAAAGATATTGTATTGAATTGTGAAAAAAAAATAGCATCAATCTTAGGTGATTTCTTCAGAATGTTTCACATTTGGTCTTACTGAGAAAGCAATTTAGAGTTTTTAAATTACATGAAATAATGTCAAAGGCAAAACTTTTGGTCATGAGTTTTATAAAATGTGACCAGATTTATAGTAACTTCTGCCTCACTTTTTAGTGGATTGATTGTATAAATAATCTGTTAAAACTCAAATCTAATTTCCGGAATAACCAGTTTACCTTAGAAAAGAAAGCAGATAGGGGCGCCTGGGTGGCTCAGTCGTTAAGTGTCTGCCTTCGGCTCAGGTCATGGTCCCAGGGTCTTGGGATCGAGCCCCGCACTGGGCTCCCTGCTCCACGGGAAACCTGCTTCTCTCTCTTCCACTCCCCCTGCTTGTGTTCCCTCTCTGTGTCTCTCTCTGTCAAATAAATAAATAAAATCTTTTAAAAAAAAATTAATGTTCCTCGAAAAGTATCTACATTTTAAAAGTCTGCAGTGTTAGAAATTTATTATTGATTAGGTGCTTTATTCCCACTTTACTTGGAGAGTTCAGCCTTGGACTCTTAATAAGATTCTTTCTATGGATTTCAGAAACCAGTCATCAATCTTAGTGCTTAAAAGCAATGTGTTAAAAATACTACATTCAGCAATTGCATTGTTGTGGAAATAGGGAATGTTTGTTTTGACATTTAGATTTCTTATATTTTAGCTCCTGTTTATACTTTTATTCTTCAAAGATGTGATTGAGGGTCAGTTTACCAACACTTAAATCTCTTGTTACAATTTTATGAAGTCTCATTACATCAGTGTGGAAGTGGAGTTACCCAGTTCCATTATACTTACCAGTACTTTTTTTTTTTAAACAAGAACTTGTTATTTCACTAACTTATGGATTCAAATGAATTTGGGGTTAGGCTTCATTGAGATTAGGTTCTGCTGTATATAATAGAAAATTCCAATACAGTAATAGTGACAGTATTTTCTTTCCAGTTTGGGGACATACCAATTGCTTCCTATTATTCAAAGATTGTTATAAAATTCTCAGAAAGAGGGGAAACATTTTAATGTATTTGAATTGTAACAATTTGTCCTTATGCTTTTAGAAATTCTCATAAAATAGGGGCACCTGTGGGTTAAGGTCAGTGGGTAAAGCGTCTGCCTTTGGCTCAGGTCATGATCCCACGGTCCTGCTCAGTGGGGAGCCTGCTTCTCCCTCTCCCCACCCTCAGCTCGCGCTCTCTATCGCGCTCTGTCTCTCTCTCAAATAAATAAATAAAATATTAAAAAAAAGAATTCTCTTGAAATAAAATAATAGTATATTATTACTCAAAAAATAAGAATTTTGTATAGGCGTGAGTATTTGTTACAACTTATTTTAGATATTAGATATTATTTTAGACACATTATATTTTAGATAAGCCTGTCAAGTCAGGAATTACAGCTCTTTAGGCAACTATTATATTCTAGACTAAGCAGTACATTCATTTACATATTCTTTTGTGAAACACACTGTCCTAGGATATATTACCCCAACATTGTGAAAGGTATAACAGATTGCCTGCCAGGAAACAACTGTCCCATGGTAATCAACAGTTTGGAAACCTAATCAGTTTGTCTTTTTTAATCTGATTCCCATTTTATTTTATTTTATTTTTTCATTAAGCTTTTTAATTTTAACTCCAGTATAGTTAACATAGTGTTCTGTTAGTTTCAGATCTACAAAATAGTGATTCCACAATTCTGTACGTTACTCAGTGCTTGTCATAATAAGGATATAGTTTATTTCTTAAGTTCATAACATTTGTCATGCTTGAGAGTAAAAGTATTATATTTTCTATTTTTAGTAATATAGTTGGCTATTCAGATTGAATTTCCTGCTGAAAACAATTAGAGTACTGAACAAAGTATTTAATAGCATGGACGAACTGACAAGATAGAAATTATCAGGTCAAAACGCAGGTGGATCAGTTTCTTGTCTCACCTCTCCACCCCTTTTTCCCCATACTATTGACTTGTTGCCAAAACTCAGTTATTTGTTCATCTGGATTTATCTGTTTGCTTCCTTGTGAACATTTAATTTATTCCTCTATCCCCCATATTTCCTATAAATGGTTCCTAACAGCATTAACGTAATTGTTTATTTGTATCATCGTACAATAGTTTCAAAATAATGCCAGTATTGCTACAATTAGATTATAGACTACTGAATAAAATTTAAGATTTCTTTGCCATTCTATTCTTAGAATATATTTCACTAAGGATGATAGTCAATTCTGTGCTCTAATGCAACTTGAAATAAGGTTTTTTTCTATATGTTTATATCATCAACTTTACATGAAGTTAGGTTCATTAGTTTCAGTTATCAGTTTCCAGGGACTGCTTAAGCGTTGGTGGTATAGTGGTGAGCATAGCTGCCTTCCAGGGACTGCTTAAGTCAAAACTATATAACAAGGTATATTCAGAGAAATCTTTTTTTTTTTAATGTTTTATTTATTTATTCATGAGAGAGAGGCAGAGGCAGAGGCAGAGGGAGAAGCAGGCTCCCTTCCTAGCAGGGAGCCCGATGCGGGACTCGATCCCAGGACCCTGGGATCATGACCTGAGCCGAAGGCAGACGCTTAACCATCTGAGCCACCCAGGCGCCCAATTCAGAGAAATCTTGCTTCTCTATCCCCTTCACCCTGTTGCACTCTTCCTCTTATTGGTGACTATTTGTATTAGCTTTTGGTTGTATTTTAACAGTATTTCTTTTCCTTTTTTTTTTTGTAAACATAAAAAATATGTATTATATGTTCTTAATCCCTTTTCTTATATTAAGGGCTGCATACTAAATATACTGTTATACATCCTTTAAAAAAAAAGATTTTATTTATTTGAGAGAGAGAGCACAAGCTGCAGAGAGGGAGGGAGGGAGAAGGACAAGCAGACTCCATGCTGAGCATGGAGCCTAACACGGGCTCAGTGTGGGGTTCAGTCCCAGGACCTTGAGATCACAACCCGAGCTGAAACCAGGAGTCAGACGCTTAACTGACTGAAGCCACCCAGGCACCCCTAGTGTTTACACATCCTGTTCTTTTTTTTCCTGAATATATCTTGAAGATCTTTCTACATCAGCATACAGGGATCTTTCACGTTCATTTCACAAGGTGCATAGGACTCCATTTGGGAGTGTACCATGGTTTATTCAACCAGTCCCTATTGATGGATGTCTGGGTTGTTTCCAGACTTTTCTTATTACAAATAATGCCAGTGAATACCCTTGTACCTAAGTAGTTTCATATTTTGTCCAATGAACCTTTGAAAAAGATTCCTAAAAATAGGATTGCTGAGTAAAAGGGACTTTTCTGGATGTTACCAGATTCTTCTGTGTAGTGCATACCATTTTGGCAGTCCCAGCAGCAGTGTATCAGGGTGTCAGTTCTGTATCACCTCACCATACACTTTGTTGTGGAACTTTTGGATTTATATCAATGTCATCAGTAAGACCATCTCCGTGTAATTTTAAATACATCTCTCTTATTATGAAGAAGGTTGTATATCTTTATGTATGCTTTTAGGAACCATTTAAATTCTTTCTTCTTTGACTGTCTTAGGTTTTGCACATTTTTTCTATTCTGTTGTGGGTCTTTCCCTCCCCCTAAATAGGATTTTTTTAAAATTTAGAGATACTAGCCCTTTGCCTTAGAGTTCCAGTTTCCCTTTATTTCCAGCTTACCTTTGACTTTATTGTGGTAGAGTTTGTTTCTTTTCTTCCCTTTTTTTTGACATTTAAAAATTTTTTATGTAATTGGAATTTTCTTTTTATTGCTTCTAGATTTTAAGTTTCAGCTGGGAGGGTTTTTCTCACTTCCAGATTATAAAGGAATTTTCGTATTTTCTTCTGTTACTTGGGTAATTTTATGTTTTACATTTAGATCTCTGGTCTATTTGGTGTTTATTCTAATGTAGTGTGAAATATGGATCCAATTTTATCTTTTTCCAAATATCTATCCAATTGTCCCCATAGTTTTTTCTGTTGGCTGGAGATTTGAGTCTATTTTTGGACTTTCCATTCCATTCGTGTAATCATATGTCAGTATCACAGTACATGATTATTACAATGTTTTAATTCTAGGTACCCAGATATTTTGTACTTTACTTTTTTTATTAGAACCAGGCAATAACAATTATAGGTCAAGTCATTGTGTCCCCCACTACCGACCCCAAATGGAGTACATGTATGATATATACATATAAACTGCAGTGCATGAAGTAGGTGCTCTTTGGTCCTGTATAAGTGAAAAGAGTGCTGAACCAGGAGTCAGGGAATAGACTCAAGTTTTAGTACCACACTAAGCAAGTCGCTACTCTCTCGGCCTCTTTTCTCAGCAGTTAACAAATAAAAAGAATTGAACTAGATGGTCTTCAGGGTTGTTTCTGAATCTAGTTAATGCTGATCAGGTAAGAGCACCACTGCTGTGTGGTAATTCAGTCTACTTTTTATTCCCCTGTGCCTGTCCTTTTGCCATATTTATGAAGTAAACTTTCTCTAATGCTCTGGATCCTGGTTCTTTCATCTTTTTTGTAGGTTTTTCTCCTAGCATTTTCTTCTCTCCTGTATTTCTTGTATTAGCTTGCATTTCTTTCTGCTGATTAAGCAAAGATTGCCACTGTTTGGCCCCTCAGCTTCCAC